TGCTATAATTAGTTCCAGGAAGGTGTTTTTCGTTTGTTTTCACTGTTCTAAAGTTTAATAAAAAACACAATTTACCAGTATTTGATATCTTGTGAAAGCGTTTTTAAGTTAAGAATGGAAATGTGCGTAATACATAATCAAATGCTAGGAGGCCTCAACTCCCAGTAGGTCCACACTCAGTGTTGTTTTAGGTTCTTCAGGATCTTCTGTTAAATCTATAATGTCAATCTCCTGTTGCAGTGAACCCATCATTTAAGTAGGACTCTTGGTATTCTCTTTTAAATGTAGCTTTCTTATTGTGGGCAGTCTTAGAGTCTTCTGCTCTCTCATCATTGAGTCTGTCCTTCTTTCGAAGCATCTCTCCAGTAACATTTGTTTTTTATTCATTTTAGCTGGGGTTAGCTTGTGGGCTTACCGAGACTGTGACTGACAAAAGTGCACAGTTGGGAAAGAGGCGCGGATGGAAGTGGGAAATCAAATAATAGGCAGGCCTTACTCAGACTAAAATAAGTGTTGGATTCTAGCTTAAAGCCTGCCACCAGATGCAACTGTATAATTGAAGTACATCAACTCATTTGCCACTACAAAGACTGCCACTAGATGCAACTTAATTGTTACTTGTCATTCACTGATAGGGTTTTGATATGCATCTGCAAGCAATTGATTTATTATGGTCTCTGTGTAGTCAGACCTCTCTGCTAATGTTAATCTGTATTTGCAGTCGCTTCGTAGTGCTAGAATTACCACCGCAGCTCCACCTCAAATCACCAGGCATTGGATTCTCATAAGGAACGTGCAACCTAGATCCCTTACATGCGCAGTTCACAGTAGGGGTCACACTCCTATGAGAATCTAATGTAGCTGATCTGACAGGAGGCGGAGCTTGGGAGGTAATGCTAGCCATGGCAAGTAGCTATAAAAATAGATGAAGCTTCACTCGCTGGCCCACTGCTTACCTCCTGCTGTGCAACCCTGTTCCTAATAGGCCATGGGCCGGGGACCCATGGTCAGAGTTCTAGGCTGCCGGTTTGATTCTCTCAACACTTTCCATGTTTGCATGGTTTCTGAGGCAAAGCTGGATGTAATTTGTTTCTCTATTATTAAGGTTTTCTCCTTACCCTGGCTTTTTGCAGGAGTTTATCTTTGCTTTTCTGATGTTTAAATATAATACGCCTATTTGCAGTTTTGTTTTTTGTTTTTGTTTTTGTTTGTTTGTTTGTTTTGTTTTAGTGTTTGTCTTACTTGGTGTTTTCTGACCTTCCTGGATCTATAGTATGGTGTCTGATGTTAATTTGGGGAAATAGTTATGGTTCCTTCAAATACAGCATCTGTTCCCTTCTCTATTTTTTCTCCTACTATTCTTATTACATGTATTTACATCTTTTGTAGTTTTACCCCAGTTCTTGTATATTGTTTTTTAAGGTTTTGTTTTTTTTTTTTTCTCTCTCTTTTTCAGTATTGGAAGTTTCTGTTGTCATATCCCCAAGTTCAGGAATTGTTTCCTCAGCCAGGTCTACTCTGCTAATGAGTCCCTCAAAGACATTCTTCATTTCTGTTAGTGTTCTCAATCTTTAGCATTTCTTTTTTGTTCTTTCTTAGAATTTTTATCTCTACACTTAAATTATCTGTATGTTCTTGTATACTGTCTACATTTTCTATCATAATCTTATTAATCCTGGTTGTCGAAAATCCCTGGTCTGATAATTCTGACATTTTTGCCATATCTGACTCTGTGTCTGATGCTTTTCAGTCTCTTTCAACTGTGTTTTTTGCCTTTTTGCATGTCTTGCGATTTTTGTAGGAAGTAGACGTGATGTCCAAGGTTTAATAAGTGTGGTAAATAGAGCTTCAGTAATGCAGTGGTAAAGTGTGCAGGGAAGGGGAAGTATTCTATAGTCCTGTGATTAGGTCTCAGTCTTTTGGTGAATTTGTTCCTCTGGATTGTGAACTTCAGTTTTCTTTTGTTTTTTTTGTTTTTTTTTTGAGACGAGTCTCGCTCTGTCGCCCAGGCTGGAGTGCAGTGGCCGGATCTCAGCTCACTGCAAGCTCCGCCTCCCGGGTTTAGCCATTCTCCTGCCTCAGCCTCCCGAGTAGCTGGGACTACAGGAGCCCGCCACCTCACCCGGCTAGTTTTTTTTTGTATTTTTTGGTAGAGATGGGGTTTCACCGGGTTAGCCAGGATAGTCTCGATCTCTTGACCTGGTGATCTGCCCGTCTCGGCCTCCCAAAGTGCTGGGATTACAGGCTTGAGCCACCGCACCCGGCCTGAACTTCAGTTTTCTAAGATTTCATCTTTCCCCACCCTTAGGTGGGACAGGATGGCAGGAGGGCAATGGAGTTGGTATTTCCACAGGGAAGGCCAAAGGAGCTTGATTTGTGTATTAACCCTCCTCTCTGTGGAAGGCTGGAGTTGGCTGGAGTTGGGTTATTTCGTTTACCCCAACTAGGTTAAGCTCTGATAAAACACCAGCAGTTTAGGCTCTGGTAATATAGTTTCCCCTGAGGGCAGGCATTTTTAAGAACAGAATGCTCTGGCATATTTTAAATGGTTCCTTTTCCCCTCCCCTTGCCAGAAACAGAAGGGGATTTTCCTCTGGTACTCACTGAAGATCTTGTAGTACTCCTGGAGGTAAAACTCACAGACTGTGGAAGCCTCCTGTGTGATTGGGTCCCCATGGAATTTTTAACTCTCAGATTTGTCTACACCAAGTCTCTAGCAATTCATTAGTTACAAATTTTCCCACCCTGGCTCTTCTGCTTATGGGGTTTTGCTTTATTAGTTTATGATCATCTGTTTCTACCTATCCTTTTTTTCCAGTTTTGAAGACAGTAGTTTGCCCTGTGACCTCATTTCTCTCACAGATTTTAGAAGACTTGTTGATATTTCAGGTTTTTCAGCTTTTTATTTTATTTTTTAGGACTGAGTGGTGACTTCTGATCTCTTTACATTCCGGGCTAGAAACTGGAAGTCTGTATTAACTTTTTATAGTTTCATAGCCTAGCCATCTTCCTGAGTTCCATATCTACCTTTCTGCCTGATGTCCATCTCTACTTGTACGTTCAAATGAAATCATAATCATAGACTCTAATTATATTAAGTATATCTGCTTAAGTATAACCTATTTTTCTATATAACCTACTGTTCTTCTTTATATTTACTTCTGCCCAGAATATAATCTTCCACGTTACTTAGACAAAATCTTAAACCTTGGTTATCTTTAACATTAATTTTCCATTCACATCTTTAAACAATCATTTTCTCTAAATCCTCTCACCCTGCTTCCAGTTTCTTCATTCTGTTCTCCATGCTCTATTTCAGCTCCTTGTTTCTTTTCAGCTAAATTAGTTAGAATAATTTCTTTAAATAATACATCCATATTCATTCTCAGTGAATCTTGTTCACTGCATCTAGCTTTGTCCTATTTCTTCTAGCACTCTCTTGTCTTTTTCCTCTCTTCTCTTCCCTTTCATCAGACTTGCTGAGAGTCTAGACACTAGACTGAATGCCGGGGAATATAGAGATTTACAAAGCCAAGTTCACAATTCCTGGAATTCTACAAGAAGGTTGCGACCTACATTTGTAAGTTTTCCCTTTTATTCCGCCCACTTGTAACCTATAAACATGACAAGATATTCTTTGTATATTCTTTTTAACCTTTTAAAAAATGTTCTTTCTAGAATGCCTGTTCCTTTTTCCATTCTTGCCAGAATCTCCCTATTTCTCAAAATTCGTCTCAAAAGCCACCTCTCCAGAAAAGCCTTTTCGTCATTCGCTCAATGTCTTCATGTATTCTACTTCCTCTCAATACTTTGTACTTAAGATGGCCTTTATTTGGCTACCATATTCATTCTGTTCTATATTATAATCATCTAAAGGCTTCTCTTATGCCTCTGATTAAAATTTGAGTTTGTAAAGGGTGAGTCTGCCATCTTTGAAATAGCCTGGACCTGATAAATGCTATTTATGTAATGGTTGAATTGCATGCTTACCTTTTGGGAAAGTGTCAGTTCTTCAAGGCCTAGTTCAAGTTTACTTCTGTAACACCCTCCCTTAGCTACTGCACATGTAACTATCTTAGCACTTTGTTTCCATTGTCTTTTTTTTGGTCTTTTTGTGTGTGACACATTAAACTAGTGGGATCTTATTTTATTAACTGTAGAATCCCCAGCACCTAGCACAATGCCTAACGTATGTGCTTAGTAAATATTTTTTAAATAAATGGAAAAATAACCTCTTTTTTTGCTTTTGCAGTACCTTGTTGATATCTTTTACAGCACTTAACCACATGCTGAGTTGTTTGAAGGAATATTTATATTTCCTGCCTTCCTCTTCCAGATTTTAATCTACATGGAGGAGAGGGAATATTTTCCCTTTGAAAAGAATTTCCTTCAAAGCTTTGCCCATAGAAGCAATAATACATTTATTCATTCAACAATTATTTTGTGAGTGCTTATTTTGTGCCATTTTTTCTATGCAATAGGGAATATAAGATGGACACTTTGAGATGGACAAGAATCCCCGATTCATGGATCTTTCTTTCTAGTTAGAGAAACATTCTATTTGTGCATATTGATTTTAGTATTAGCTGGAAATGATTACCTGTGAAGACATTTTTCTTTAGTTTTTATTTATTTACTTAGAACTTTCACTTTTATATGATTAATTTACATATAGTACTATTTACATGTTGAAGTATACTTTTAAGTCAAATAATAGCTGTTTTTCATGAAGTTTCTCCTATATCCTGGGAACCTTACATACTTTATCTTTCTTCAAAAAACGCTGCAAAGTAGGCTTTATTGTTTCTGTTTTAGAGATGAGAAAACTGGGGTTTTGAGATGATAAATAATTTGCTTTAATTATGGTGCCTAACTAGGAAGCAAGAGAACTGGAATTTAAATCAAGGTGTGTCTGTTCATACAGCCTATATGTACTCCTTATATTATACTTCATTTCCAATTTCTTCACATTTGTTCAAGACAAACTTTTAAAGTCTTACCTCCTTTTTTCTTTCCTCACAGCCACAATATGAGAACACTTCACTCCAGACACCATTTTCAGAGGAATCAGTTTCCCATTCCCAACAAGGGGAATTTGAGCAAAAGCTTGCATCTACTGAGAAAGAAGTTTTACAGCTTAATGAGTTTCTCAAACAAAGACTAAGCCTATTTAGTGAAGAGAAGAAGAAACTGGAGGAAAAAGTAGGTATTTGTAATAAAATTGAATTAGGTCAACATTTCATCAGCATATAATTATTTGTCTGTCATTTACCCTGTCAGGTGTCATACCAAGGTTATATATACACTTATGTGGAGGTGATTAATTTTGTAGTAACTTTTGAGAAGCCTTCTGCTATCTGCAGAAATCCAAGGATTTTCTTTGAGGATAGAAATGCTCTTGTATATCTTTATAACAAATAGTAAAATATTTTTAAAAATCAATTGTGTACACCAAATAACTGTTCTTTTCCTTATTAAATCTATGATTTCATTTTTTTTTTTTTTGGCATGTTGGGCATAAAGGGTTGGTAAATGAAGGTGGCTTATCTTTAATAGTCATGCAACTTAAGTTATTAAACTGAAGCCCTTGATTCAGAATAATAAGCTAAAAGCCAAATATACAGACAGGAACACTGTTTGCTCTTTCTGCCTTTATTAAAAGTATTTTCACGTATTTTATCTTATTCCATTTTATTATCATTCATGATTAAGTAGGACATGTGCTAGCCCTAATTTATTGAAGAGGTACAGATCCATGAGCTGCATAGTGGCAGCAGTGGTTTTAGCCTTCTCTTTTAATCTACTCAGCTTAGTTTTGAGCCTCCCATTCAAGTGGTCATAGAGCAGATCACCATGATTTTCTTTTTTCTTGCTCATCAGTGCTTACTTTATTTTTTTCAATTTTAGTTCCATAGTTTTTGGGGAACAGGTGGTTAGTTACATGGATAAGTTCTTTAGTGTTTTTTTCTGAGATTTTGGTGTACCTGTCACCTACACATTGTACACTGTACCCATTGTATAGTCCTTTGTCTCTCACACCCCTTCCCGCCATGTTCCCAAAATCCATTATAGCATTGTTGTGCCTTTGCATCCTCATAGCTTAGCTCCCAGTTAAAAGTGAGAACATACGCTGTTTGGTTTTCCATTTCTGAGTTACTTCACTTAGAATAATAGTCTCCCACTCCATCCAGATTGCTATGAATGCCATTATTTTGTTCTGTTTTATGGCTGAGTAGTATTTCATGGTATACATACACAGACACACACACACACACACGCGCGCGCGCACGCCACATTTTCTTTTTCAATTCATTGGTTAATAGGCTGATTCCACATTTTTGCAATTGCAAATTGTGCTGCTATAAACATGTATGTGCAAGTGCTTTTTATGTAATGACTTCTATTCCTCTGGACAGATACCTAGTAGTGGGATTGCTGGATCAAATGGTAGTCTTACTTTTAGTTGTTTAAGGAGTCTCGACACTGTTTTCCCTTGTTGTTGTACTTGTTTACATTCTCACCAGCAGTGTAAAAACATTCCCTTCTATTTCATACCAACATCTATTTTTAAAAATTTTTAAATTATGACCATGCTTACAGGAGTAAGATGGTATCTCATTGTGATTTTAATTTGAATATCCCTGATAATTAGTCATGTTGAACATTTTTTCATATGTTTGTTGGTCATTTGTATATCTTCTTTGAGAATTATCTATTTATGCCCTTAGCCCGCTTTTTGATGGGGATTATTTGTTTTTTCTTGCTGATTTGTTTGAGTTCCTTATAGATTCTGGATATTAGTCCTTTGTCGGATGCATAGTTGTAATATTTTCTCCCACTTTATGGGTTGTCTGTTTGACGATTATTTCTTTTGCTGTGCAGAAGCCTTTCAGTTTAATGAGACCCCATCTACTTATTTTTATTTTTGTTGCATTTGCTTTTGGGTTCTTGGTTACAAACTCTTTGCCTAAGCCAGTGTCTAGAAGAGTTTTTTTGATGTTATATCCTCTAGAATTTTTATGGTTTCAGGTGTTAGGCTTATGTCTTTGGTCCATCTTGAGTTGATTTTCGTATAAAGTGAGAGATGAGGATCTAGCTTTATCCCAGCACCATTTGTTAATAGGGTGTCTTTTTCCCACTTTATGTTTTTGTTTGCTTTTTTTTTTTTTTTTTTAAGACGGAGTCTCGCTCTGTCGCCCAGGTTGGAGTGCAGTGGCGCGATCTTGGCTCACTGCAATTCTCCTGCCTCAGCCTCCCGAGTAGCTGGAACTACAGGCGCCCACCACTGAGCCTAGCTAATTTTTTGTATTTTTAGTAGAGACAGAGTTTCACCGTGGTCTCGATCTCCTGACTTCATGATCCTCCCGCCTCGGCCTCCCAAAGTGCTGGGATTACAGGTGTGAGCCATCGCACCCGACCAATTTTTCCTCACTCTTTAAGTTGATACCTGTATATTATATAAAATAGCTATCACTTCCACTCCTCACAGACTAGCCTTAAACAGGGGAAGACCCTCACTAATCAGTGTTGCCGGAGAGGGGGGATTTTCATATCTTTGTACTAGTTTAACTCATTTTTTTTGTTGTTAGCATCCTTTAGGCTTCAGGGGAGTATTCTAGGTCCCATCGGTACTCAGACAAGCGAAATTTCAGCCAGTCCCTTGACCAGACTTCTGAAAAGTCAGATTGTTGGATATTCTGTCCATTGCTTTCCCTGTACAGGGAGAAACTTGAATCTGTCTTCACTCATTGCTGTGTGCTGAGCTGGAGCTGTGAACTATGGAAACTGCTAGCCTAGACCATCATCTCTGATCTCAGTGATCCCAGGCAGCAAGAGTGTCGTGGTCCTATTAGTGTTCCAAGACAGGCAAGGCAGAAGGCAGTCTTCTGAACAGCACCCAGAAAAGTTGGGATGTTGGATGTGTGATCCAACTATTTTCTTTCCCAGCAGGTTTCCTTCTGATCATATGCTGTATTGGGGGTAGGATTATAGAAGGTGTCTTGCATTTCCTTAATTGCTTCAATGTGCCTGATTTTGCATTCACCCAGAGTACAATAGCTTCTTGACTAATTTTTGGATTTCTTAAAAAGGGAATTTGTCCATGTTGGGGGTTTTATTATTTTTTTAATTGAATCCACATGTTGGGGGGAAGGAGAGTCCAAGACTTGCTCTTCTGCCATCTTGCTGACAGTACTCCCCAGGTCTTTAAAAATATAAATCAAATTCTTCCCATGGCCTGAAATACATTTCCTAATTATATATCCGTAGGTTCTGCCAATCTTCCTCTGATAAACTGTGTATTGATACCCTGGGTGTTACAGTTGCTCATACAGCTCAGGCTTTGTTTCTGGTATCAGGATCTTTACACAGAGTGGCCTTTTGGCGTGGTAAATACGTGGCTGCTTTTTTTTCTCCCACTTTCAAGTCATCTATTTATGTGTTCAAATCTAGCTTAATATTTTTCCCTTCTACTCCTCCTTTCATATGCTTATAGAATTTTACTCTTTTTTTTCCAGGGCTCAACCCAATTTGTATAATCCTTATTTTTTTCAATTTCTCTCTAAGCTCCTTGAAGGCAGGGGGATTGTATTTGAATGTGTCACTGTGGCATATGTAGCACCATTCATGGTGCCTGGCATATTGAATGTATTCTGTCAGGTAATTTTTGCCAGGATGGAAGAGAAAACAGTAAGGTAGACTAGGGAAAAAACAATGAGAGAGAGATCAAAGTTGTCAGAGTGGGTGCCTAATGGAGCAAGTTCATAGGAGACATAGGGAAGGGTTGATAACAGATGCAAATATGGTAGAGTTACTCTTGGAAAAGAAGAGGAGTAGCTTCTGTGTGAGTGAGGCAATTAAGAATGGAAATGTATATACCAGAGAAACTTGAGTAGAGGGGATAAATGTAGAGGGCAGAGTTTGTGTCAGAGCATATGGAGATGACTTCAGTTCTTGAAGGGAGCGCATAGGTTAGTAAGAACAGGCTCCTTGGTAACAAATCAACTAAACAAACAGCACTTTGGGTCCACACAAGATTGGATCATACTGGTTTTTTTGGCATTTACTCTGTAATCCTTATCAAAGACAGATTCTATGACAGAAAAAAACAATGTGGTAATAATAATAGAATTCTTTTGAGTTCTTTCTTTAAAGAGACAGACAATAAAGAAAAGTAACCATTTGTGAACCTCTTATAAAACTTGTCCTTTCTGTTACCTTCTAGGAATGATATCAGTATTGCATCATTCCTCTTTGAAAAGAAAAGCTTAGCCTTGTATGAATAGAATAGAGAAGATTTACTAATGACACCTCATTTATCTGGAGGTGATTAATGCAGTTCAGACTTGAGTAACCTCTATTTGTATGGAACAACACAAAACTTGGCAGTTCAAAAAAAATGAAACACCAGAAAACAAAACAGTGAGCTTGTCATCTGTGAGCAGGGCTGAAGAAAAACCCAAGACCCAGTGAATATGTATGATCAACATGTGACCAACAAATAACAGAGACAGTGTCCCGTAGGAGAGTGTTGGCAGCAATTTGTGATCAAGGGAAGCAAGCTTGATGTGACAGCAAAGAGAGTTGGCCAACCAAAAGAAAAAGAAGAAAAGTAGGACATCTTTGCACACAGACAGACCTATGCCAGTCACTGCTTTTTGAGGCATCATTTTGTCACATTTAATACATTTAGACAGTTGAGTCCAAGTTAGCATTAAGTAAACATAGGTTGCTTTATCATGTTTACCTCTGTAATGTACAGGGTCATTTGCTAAGGCTAGAGCAGGCTTGGTTGATGGGAAATCCAAGCACAGCTGGTTACTGAAATAAGAACCTGATAATGAGTCATAAGGAAGAACTGAAAGAAAGTTGATTTTCAGTCAGATGATCTAGATTCAAATTCGACTTCTGATTTTATGACTTGTTAAGTCACTAAAGATCTTTGGGCCTCACCTGTATTAAGGGAGTTGTATTATATGGTCACCACCAGTGCCAACAGTATGTAAGGTTTTCCATTCTGATAGATCACAGGGTAAACTGTCACACCAGCACATTTACCTTTAATCCTAAGAAAGCCTCAAGACATAATAGGATGTGTTTGTCTTACCAGTGTTGCTCCTTACCAAAGGTCATAAGTAGATGCTAACGTCACTGGTGAAATGAATAATTTTTCCACATGAAGTTTTAAAAATCGTTACACATTAGACCTGAAAGAAATTAGAAAATGCATGAAAGAAACTAGTTTCTTTCAAATTTTATTAAAGCTAAAGAACAAGTATTGGCTTTAATAAAATTTGAAAGAATAATCCATCTTACTGCTAATTATTGCCAGTTATTTTCCCAGTGAATATGGGAAAACACTGTAAAAATATTTTAGAACCCTGTAAGTTTGAAAAGAGGATTAAATGTTTGGAAGATTGGTAATTTAAGGTAAATAGGAGTAAATATGAAAGAGCTTTGGCTATGAGATATGAAATTTAAAGATTGCATATTTCATGGAATGGTAGGTAAAAAGTACCTGAAAATCTGACTTTCAGCCTGTATGAATTGGGATTTACTAGAATCATTATCATGTGTGTACATACCATGATATGTACACGTTATCAGTTGTACATACCAACTGAAATATGTGTTCAGTTACCATACTTTATCAATCCTAAAATGACATCAATAGTAAGACACCTTTATTTTATGGTTTTTAGAAAGAAAATATGCTGCAAATTCAGTTATGACACAGTGCCTTAAACAGTAGTGTTGCTTGAGGTGTGGATTAGTTTCACTAGTCCATTATCTGCCCCTAAGTATTTGGTATATTCTTTCAGCTTTAGTTGCATTGTTTGGTGCATGATAAGCAATTTCTTTGCAAGTCTGTTAGTAATGAAATAGTTTTAGTTACTTGCAGTATCTTCCTCTCTTCGTTCACATAAAGCATTTGGGTATAGCTATGCAAAAACTAAGAAATCGGAGTCATTCCTTCAGAGATGAATACTTCACTGATTTCAAAGGCTTTTTTTCTGTGCCTGTCTGGGCACCCAGTAACATTGTTCCATACTAAATTGTAATGTAACATTGTTTAGGCATTTTAGACATCATTTAAACTCAACACATAGTTTGTACATATATATAACAATATTGAAATGACAAGGATATGAACAGCCTTGACCAAATTTGCACATGTGTAGGCAATAAAAACTACATCACTACTGCCCCCTGATTGATGGCAATTTATAGGATGCCATCCATGGTAAAAGCAAATACCCCCTAAACTCTTGATTTCAGTGACATAAATTTTTTTAGGTGTAAATCTTTTTTTGTTTTTTGTTTAAATTGAGACAAAGTCTTGCTCTGTCGCCCAGGCAGGAGTGCAGTGGCACAATCTCGGCTCACTGCAACCTCTGCCACCCTGGTTCAGGTGATTCTCATACCTCAGCCTTTCAAGTAGCTGGGACTACAGGCACGTGCCACCACGCCCAGCTCATTTTTTTGGTATTTTTTTAGTAGAGACAGGGTTTTGCCACGTTGGCCAGGCTGGTCAGCCCACTTTGGTTTCCCAAAGTGCTGGGATTACAGGCATGAGCCACCACACCCGGCAAGTGTAAATCTTAGAATGAAATAAGGTAAATCTTAATTGAGTTGCTAGTGGCCTTCGCTATAACCTGAAACTGTTGGTGAATTCAGCAGTGTTTAATAGTAAAGTGTTGGTTTTGCTACGTCTTTTAATGACTCAAAACTAATGAAGATTCGTAATTGTTTTCTTCAGCTTAAAACTAGAGATCGATACATTAGTAGTCTGAAAAAGAAATGCCAGAAGGAATCTGAACAAAATAAAGAAAAGCAGAGAAGAATCGAGACCTTGGAAAAGTATCTGGCTGATCTTCCAACTCTAGATGATGTACAGAGTCAGAGTCTACAGGTAACATGAAATAAAATGCTTATCTTTAAATGACATGAAAACATGTTAACTTGACTCTTTAGAAACTTGGCTAACTATAAATTAAATCCATGTGTTTAATTGCTGTTTTGGGGACTTAATTCTAATAAGAAACTTTGTTTATCTAAGCATGCATAAGTAGATATTTCTTGTCAGTTAATAAGTGATTACCTTCCTATTGATCCTGTGTTGTAACTCTGTTAACTACTGTAGAAGTTAGTTTCTAAACCAGTCTGCCAACCACTACCCCATACACACACATGCACACTCCCCCAGTTCTGGTGCTTTCCAACAGTCTCTAGGATTCACCAAGGCTCTACAAGACCTTTTGTTAAGTATCTTTCTAGATATTTATTTTCTTCATTCTTCTTAACCTTTATATATATATTTTTTTCTTACACCTTGACCTATGACCTCAATTCACTCCTCTGACTTCTACTTTTTTTTTTTTTTTCTTAACAATACCTCAGAGTCTTTCTCCTAACTCAGGTGAGGCCCACTGTCTTGAAACCTTATTTATAAATCCACTAGATCTACTCTTCATTCTCTTCCCAGAGTTGTTCTAAGCCAGGGATTCTCAACTTCAGCACTATTGACATTTGGAGGCAGATAATTTTTTGTTACAGAGGTCTGCCTTGATCATTGAAGGGTGTACTTCTACATCCATATATCTGCCCTCTACCCACTAAGTGCCAGTAGCAGTGCTCCTTCTCCTTTATCCCAAACCCAAAATGTAAACAGATATTTCCAAATGTCCTCTGGGGGTAAAATTACCCTCACTCGAGAGTCATTAGTCTAATCTAAGGAGTGTCACTGTGCATCCTGTAAGACCTATGTTGCATTCTCTGTTTATTTTACATTAATTTATAATTTGTAAAAACTAAGATTAAAGTCAGGAAGGAACTTAAGGACTGCAAGAGGTTGCATGAGCAGGAACAGAGGGCAATGTGTATTAGAAAATATGTAAGAAAATACCTAACATCCATTGGGGTGGCAGTTAAGGGTCTTGAACAGATATTTGTACACCCATGCTTATAAGATAATTATTCACAATAGGCAAAAGGTGGAAGCAGCCCAAGTGTCCATGACTAGATACATGGGTAAACTAAAGGTGGTATATACACACAGTGAAATACTGTTCGCCTTAACAAGGAGAGAAACTCTGACACATACTATCATGTGGATTAACCTGGAGGATATTTTGCGAAGTGAAATAAGCTAGTCACAAAAAGACAAATACTGTATGATTCCACTTAATGAGATACCTTAAGAATTCAGTCACAGAGACAGAAAGTAGAAAGTTGGTTACCAGGGAATGGGGGGAGGGATAGATGGGGAGTTGTTTAATTGATACAGAGGTTCAATTATGCAAGATAAAGAGTTCTGGAGATTAGTTGCACAATGTGAATATACCTAACACAACTGCACTGTACACTTGAAAATTGTTAAGACAGTATAAAGTTGTATATTTATTACAATTAAAAGAAAAATAAGTTTAAAATTAACCTTTCTTAGTCTTCTACAAATTTCTAACCCCATTCTCTTCCTTGTAATTCCATTCTTGTAGGTGCCTTTCACACAGAGGAGATGGAGTGCTAATACTCTAGATAAAATGCAGTGTGATTTTTTTTTTTTTAGCTACAAGTCTGTCAATCCCTGCCAACACGGTAACAGTTTCTAATAGAAGCATATTTAATATTTCATGTGTAATGAACTGTAAAAAATTTCTCCTTAGCTGCAGATTCTGGAAGAAAAAAATAAGAATTTACAAGAGGCTTTGATAGATACAGAAAAAAAAATTGAAGAGATCAAAAAGCAGTGTCAAGATAAAGAGACACAGTTAATATGCCAGAAAAAGAAAGAAAAGGAGTTAGTAACTACTGTTCAGAGGTAAGAAAATTTTCTGAATCCTTTTATGTTATTTTATTCATATTTTTCATAAAACATTTTACTTAAACTAATTTATAAGTTATTTTACTCTCCTTAATTTAAAGATGTACTACAGGATGCTCATCCCTTTTCCAAACTGCTTGTGAGCAGGAATGTTTTAGATTTCAGATTTTTTTGGATTTTGGAATATTTGCCAAGTACTTACCCACTGAGCATCTCTAATCTGACAATCCAAAATCTGAAATGCTCCAATGAGCATCTCCTTTGAGCATCATTTGCATGCTCAAAAAGTTTTGGATTTTGAAACATTTCAGATTTCAGGTTTTTGGATTAGGGAGTCTCAACAATATATTGATATCTTGCCAAAAGTTTCTGTTGAAAATAGTAAAAATAAAAACTCATACAAATGAAGACTGAAAATATTAATACAAACCCTTTATTTAATGGCTTTATCAAAAAAAATAAGTAAAAATTGTAAACAACAAAAAAGGGGCCAGCAAAATACTCGAACTGCACTCCTTAATGGAATATATCAAATTGAAGTAATTGGCTCCTATTTCCCTTTACTGCAAGTAAAAGATACAGCAGTTTTGCCATCTATCTTCCAGATTTACTTACATATCTTGCCTCATGGGACTCAATTAATACAGTTGTAAGTACAATGAATACCATTTGCAAATTCAGTTTGTGTTTATTAAACTTGGAAATTAATATTGGATCCCTGAAAAACCTAAGGAAGTATTTTATATGTATAGATATGGATGTTCTGTTTTGCAAAACTTAAACCTTAATATTACCAACTATAAATAGATAAAACTATCCTGAAGAATAAAACAACAAAGGAACAGAAGCGAAATGCAAGAAATACAATCTTCATACTTACATCAATTTTACAATTCAATTTATTCTTAGCTTTTCAATAAAAATCCATCTGATTCCATGTTAATTTCATGTTAATATTGCTTTACTACTACTTTGAGTCTTAAATATGCCTTGTCCTACTTTTTTCTTTGGGTTTTAACGCCAAAAAATTTTTGATTTCTGGGACAATTCAGTTTGAATGAGAAAACATATGTTTCTCATCATCTCAGCTCCCAAAACAAATCATATACCTTTAATTCTGCTTTTGTCTCCTATTTCTGCTGCTTGTTCTTAAATTTTCCTTTTTATAACTTTTCATCTTATGCCCTGTTCTTTAGTATCAGAACAACTTTCTGATCTGCACTAATTCAACCATATAGCTTTTTCTTTCATCTTTACTGATAAAATGAAAAGAGACACTATATCTGATCTGTCATATAGAGCATTATAATTATAAATTAAAGCTGTGTTGCTTTAGGAACAGAATTAGCCACACCTGAAAATAATTTGAGTGTTGCTTTGTTCTGTTGTGTGCTTTTAGATTGTATGCTTTTCTTTTATTTAGACTTTATCTTTTATTAGGTTTTGTGGAAACACTGAACCTTATATTCTTGTTTTGGAAAGATTAGTACGGTGCATTTCAGATAACATTTTCCACTTTTAAATTTCATCTTGATACTATCAGAGATGATACCATGTCCAAAAATTTCTCTTGGTTTCAAATAGATATAAAGGATCAAAGGGTTGAGGATGGTATCAGAGCTGATGGTTTTTTCAGCTCTATAAGATAATATTCCTTGAGTTTCAAAGAACTTCAGATGTATATGTGACTGTGAATTATATAATTACATTTATCTGTTTTATATAATATTTCTAAGCTTCCTGTTCTGTGAATACTTAAGAACATTTGCAATTTATACATTAAATAAGAAAAGCTTCCCATTAGACCTGAAAATTAAAGTGAAAAAGATGGGTGAGCTCCTTAGTAATGCAGTAGTAGGTACCACTTTAAGAGATACTTTACTTTTTGAATTAAACATGTTATATAACCTAAAAATGTATAAATGAAATAAAATTTATTGGGCATTTTTCCATGACAGTTCCTCTCTTCATAGCTGGCTCATTTTTTTATTTGAAAGACTTTAATATTTTAAATACATATTGTTTCTCATGAAATGTCTGGAAGTAGTGTCTTGACACTGAATTGGTAAAACAAAACAAACAAAAATCTCATTCTGAAATAGAAATAATTTGTTTTACACTTCAGACTGAAAAAAGCAAATAATTATGACAATGTATTACACAGCAGTACACTACATCGATAATAAATACAAATGTCTCTGGCGCCATTATTTGTAAACGTCTGAGGCCCTTATTATACCATCTAGGACTGTCAGTTCTCTTTTCACAATCTGGATAGGGCATTTCTTCTGTTTTTGAAAGACAAAGAATAGAATAGCCATAATTCTTGAAAAAAAGAAAAATAATGAAAATATCAAAACCCAATTTATAAGAAGTCTTCCTTTTAGTACTCTGCAATGCTTGAGTATGACTCAAGCTAAAGTAGAGCTATTTCCGGTTTCTTGCTGCTATTATTTTGGTTTTGTTTTGGTAATTATTGTCTAATGATGTGACTTCTTTTAACCAAACATTACTATTCTTTCTTTCTAGCACCTTCCCCCTCTGCCCCTTTTGCCTTTTTATTTTGAATCTGCAGTCTTACTTTTGTTGTTTCCCCTTCTAAAATGCAACTGTGTTCCATGGATAGCATAAGAAAGTGTTCTGTCAAGTTATAATGAAGAAGAACTCATGAACACAAGAGAAGGGAACAACAGACACTAGGGCCTACTTGAAGGTGGAGGGTGGGAGGAAGGAGAGGAGCAGAAAAAATAACTTGGGTAGTAGGCTTAGTACCTGGGTGACAAAATAATCTGTACAGCACACCTCCATGACACGAGTTTATCTGTGTAACAAACCAGCATGTGTACCCACAAACTTAAAGTAAAAGTAAAAAAAAAAAAAAAAAAAAAGGAAATGAAAGAGAAATGTAATTCTGATGGTTTAGGCAACAGCCATTCTTACAAGCAAACTTCTGCTGAGCTTAGAATAAAGGACAAAAGATGTGTATACATATTCTTAGGTTCTGTGCAACAGTCATCTTAATCAAGGAACTCTGCTTTTAGAGGAAAAGTAAAGAACACAAGTTAGACTTCAGAGCTCAGATTTGGGTAATGAAGAACTTCATCTGGGCCTAAGGATGTCACATACTGAGCAACTCTGGACTCTGGTCTCAAATTTGCCATTTCTGAAAAGATCAGCCTCTAGCTAACTATGGACCCTTCTTACTTGTATGAAATAAAAGTAACACTTTTTCATATACTGTCTGTGGGTCTTGATTATTGGTTGATTAAAAAATACAGAACCTAAAAAGGACATCATTTATGTTGAAATCATTACCAATATCAGCAAATAGAGCTTATTTTCATCATATAATTGTCTTTTGAAATAGTTTGCAACAAAAAGTAGAAAGATGCCTTGAAGATGGAATCCGCCTTCCCATGTTAGATGCAAAACAGCTTCAGAATGAAAATGATAATCTCAGACAACAAAATGAGACTGCTAGTAAGGTCAGTAGATACCTTTGATCATAAACGTGAAATCTATACTAAGTGGATATGTGTGTATAGATACATAATTTATAGCTACTTTATGTGATTTATATTTTGTAAATATTTAATTGCTTATATAATTTGCAGTTTGAATGTCTTTGTTTGAAGGACCATAGCAATTCAAACAAAATTAAATAATTGAAATAAAAGTCAAAACAAAAGGATATCTTTTTCCTTCCTTAATTATTCAGTCTGTCTCAAAGTTATTCTTAAAAATTGTATAAATTTGAGAAAAGTTTTATCAAGAACTAGAGAAAGTCTTTTGTAGTTTTATACTTGTGTGATCCAAATCATAAGAATACTTTCAGTTTTTTAAAAAGACCCTTCTTAAAAATAAATTTATAAATTTCTGTGCTGTGTTTTCTTGAAATGTTGGTACTTTTAAGAAGCAATGTAAAAATTATTTGAATCAGATGTATTTATTTTTTTGTTTTAGATAATAGACAGCCAACAAGATGAGATTGACAGAATGATTTTAGAAATTCAGGTAAGGAATATTTTGTGCTTATTTTAATTTAGCTATATTCTGATATACTCTTAATGCTTATTTAACCTGCAGATATTAAAGCATGCATATATTGTATGGAAAGATAATATGTATAGCACTGAGGTAGAGTTGCAAATTCTTTAATATTAATCTTCCAGTTTTTGCTGTTTGGTAAATTAATCCTTCAAAAATTATAAAGATTCATCAGTGAACAAGTCACATGCCTGACCATTCTAGTGGGGTGAGTTGGAGAGAATACAAAACCAATATAATGAATGCCAGGTGCTATGAAAAAAATTGCTGTTAAAAATGTTATTTTAAAAAGTAGGCTAGAGAGTGCTACATTTAATAGAGTGGTCATGATGTTTTTCCTGAAGAGGCAATATTTGAGCAGGGATCTGAATGAAGACATCCAGGGCAAGAGCATTTCAAGCAAAGGGAGCAACAAATGCCCTTTATATACCTGGTATGCTCTAAGAACAGCACAGTCTGTTAGCCTGGAGTTCAGGAATTGTGAGGCCGTTATTCTAAGTGTGATGGGAAGCCATTGGACATCTTTTGCTGAAAAATGTTTAGCTCTATACCTCCTAATTTTACTGTTACTTCTTAAAATCAAAGTAAAAGTAGTAAATGATTTGCCATTATATACAGTCTTTGTCTTTTGGTTGTATTATTTATCAATAAATGTATGAGCCTGATGGATTGATTGACAGAGGTTATAAACTTTATTTTGTATTCCTACAGACATAACTTCAGTTGTTCCATAACCCATTAGAATCTCTAGATTGTTAGATTTCCTCAGCCATTGTTATGTGACTTATTCTGGACCATAATTCAAGAAATTTCTATTTTACTTGGGCAAATTTTCCGAGAAGTAAATCTAATACAAGTTATCTCAATCTAAATTAAGAATAATCAACACGTGAACTTTGGCATTGAAACTTTAATGATTTGTAAGATTTCATTTATCATATACTGTCACATTATAGGTGTTCAGTATATATTTGCATTCATTGAAATGTGCATTTTCTCCCCATTTGTGGAGACATCTTACTGCAATTTACTCTTACATGTTAACCAAGTCTGTAGTCACATGTAAATATGTCATGACCATACATAAATGAATACGTAGAAGAATATGCAATTATAGGCCTTACTGTTCTTTGTTATTAAAATGCTTCAGCAAACACAAACCTTTTATTTCTTCAAACTATGTAGAGAATTGAAATAAAATTAATGAGATGCATTTATTTCCAAATATTGGGGCCTAGACACTATAATCATTAATTCTGTTGTCCTTTGAATCAATGACTTTTTTGGATTTCTTTTCTTTTTTGTTCTTAGCATCTCATTTGCCCATTCTGACCATCAAGGTCTGCACATCTAGAGACAGAGATCTATAGATTTAGGTCACAGAGACAGACAATAAATGTTGATAGCTGGCCGAAATAGCTATATTTGTGAACGTGGTATTTGAATAGCAAAGCTGGAGATGAATATGACTCACATAATGAGAAAATTATTTGCTAGTTTTAAACTCATGTTATTTTTTGGCCCCTTATCATTTAAAAAGACAGAAATTTTGTTTGTATTTGGTCGTTTTTGATGACCTTTCTCTAAAAGGTATATGCTCTATAAAAACCTGAAAATATTGCTTATTCTGAAAAGAGGAACACTAATTATTTCCCTAGCATTGGAAACACTGAAAAGAACACTTTGGGTTGAAAAAATATTCCTGTTGCTTTCTATTGTGGTTAATAGACATAATTAATGGGTGTATTATCAAACTGATATACCTAATAGAGCAACTCCCTTCACTTCCTACTTCTTTAAAGCTGTGTGATTTTTCCTTATCTGCTTACATAAAGAATGGCCAGCTTGTACCTATGTAGATTATGATGTCCTTTCCATATGCTATAGCTCTGTTTTTGAATTTCTTCAAATACCTTCGCCTATCTAAAATAACACAAAATACTATATAATTAACGATAGCAGAGAGCCTCCCAATTATTTTTAATTATGCATTTTGACTATCACTATAGTATTAATTTTATGTAAAAGCTCATTGTCGCTATAGTTTGGATATTCTTTCTTCCTCCACAGTGCTTGGATGTTTTTCCATTTTGGAGTATTCAGTAGGCAAAGATAACTTGGTACTGTTAGAATTTCATGTGTTACTGCCTCTTTATGTCTTTGCAAATTGTCGAGAACACCAAATTTGTTTGAAGTTCATTTGTCTTGATTTGGTGCACTGCATTTCCTTGGTAATAAGTAAGTTATTCATATAGTTTAAATTTACTCCCAAAAGGGAAAAATAAAATCCCAGGCTATGTACATTTTATGTCCAATTTATAGGAGATAAAAATAGGGTATTGTTTCATATTTAGATGCTGTGTTCAAAATACAGCTATAGTTTATTATTTTGCCACAAAAGTCAAATAAATACTTACCTGTTACAGGTCACTGGCACGTTTATTTATTCACAGCTTTCAAAGTTGGAGAGAAATCATTCCTCTACTAGTTATACTATATTTGTTGTTGAATATAGAAAAAGTAATACTTCATATAAAAGTATATGCTAATTTGGAAATTGAGTTTAGTGCTGTAAAAATACAGATTTATCTACTGTTTTGTTCAACTGTCTAGGTCATATTGTTAACTGGCATAAATACCTTGTTTACTCATTGACCTTTTAGAAGTGTTGCCCTTCGTTATATCCATAAAACTAGTAGAGCTAGCCTGGCTGCTTCTCCTATAGGTTTTTTCTTCTGTCGGTATACAGTATATAAAGACATTTTGCGGTAGAATGTTCCGTGTCAGTTCCATGAACATATGGCTACAGTCAGAATATGATTGAGTTCTTCATTGGGCATTACCTTCCTTCTTGCTTATTTCTCAAAAGCACATTTCACATCCGTAAGCCTTTTTCAGTGAGCTGTTATTGTAATCTTTTGGCAGAGGACGTAGAGGTTTGTAATGTTTGCTTGTTTTCTCTGACATTAAAATATTTACTAATTGCAAGAACTTAGGCATTTAAATGGCGTATCTGAATTGACAGCTATCAATAGAAAATTATACTATGACAGAAGACAGAATAATACGTTAGAGGACATTTAAGACTGTTTACTCGGGCGTGGTTGGAACCACCAATCTCCAAACTGTGACACTCTGTTCTATTTATAACACATCGAGATGTTCCCACAGCCTAAGAGAATTCTATTCCAATTTTTAGCAAATCTCTTAAATCCTTCATCTAGCAGTTTTTCTCAGTAGAAATAGTGGGAAAATGGATCATAAGTCAATAGAGTGTCTTATAGGTAGGACATAACTCTTTTAAATATCGATTGCTTTAATGTTTTCCCATTAACATTGTGTGATGTTTATCTCCTATTTTTTTGTTATCCGAATTGTGTTATGTCTTGAAATAAAGTACTTTTTCTAAAGTTTAATTTTGGAAGCATTTACTTCTGTAAAATTGCTTATGATGAGTGAAAAACTAAAAGTATTCTTATCAGAAGTTAATACTAAATTTTGAAAAACCTACCAGCCAAATAATGCCTTCTATGAAAAGTAGCTTAAAAAAAAAAACACTCACTGTAGTCTCTGTGCTGGTAAAGAGAACAGTCTTTACTGTTCGTGTAGATCTGTTGTATGCATGTTATAGTTGCATAATTAAGATATGTCAGAAAAAATGTGTAAAAGGTGGATTTAACTTTTGAAAAATCAGTTATGTCAGAGTGGGGAGTTGTACGAGGGAAGACAGCTCACTTGAATCATGGAAGAATGTTCTTGGGCCTGTTTGTGCTATGAGTAGTCACCAAATCTATATGGATATTCACATTATTTGTAATACTTTTTAAGATATGTATTTCTGGACCCTATTGTGAACCTAATGAATCAGTGTCTCTGGGATGAAGTTGAATTATGTATTATTAAGTTCCTCAGGCAGTCCCTAACTTTGCCATATGGTCTGGCAGTAGAACTAGAGCATTTAGGAAGTATTACAATCCTCAGCATGCTCAGTGGACCAAAGAGTGGGAACTGGAGAGAAAGACTGAGGTTTAAATTTAAAAAACAAGTTTAGTTTCTAAGATACTTAGGTGTCATCAAACACATTTAACGTATTTTGGTAGATCTCACTTATAAACCAGAAAATACATTTTTTCCAGAAGTTAGAAGACAAGGAACTCAAGCAGTAACAGTTTTAAGATACAAGTCACCTTCAATTTGTGTGCAATTCAGTACTTTTTAGTATATTCACAGATAAGTGGAACCAAGACTACAGTCAATTTTAGAACATTTTTATCATCTCAAATGGAAGCCTCATTTTTGTCACTTGCCTAAGCCCCCATCCACTTCTCCAGCCATCTCACCTCTGATCCACTTTCTGTCTCTATAAATATACCTATTTTAAACATTTCATACAAATGTATATATGGTCTTTTGTGACTCTTGACCATAACCAGCTGTTAGGCTCCACTAATTGTCAGCCAATCAGTCTGTTGTTTTCAACAATACCCTGTGGCATAAATTGCTTCGCAAACTGATCCATTCTAGCTCTTTTGAAGGGATAGTTCATTAGGTTAGTGTTTGAGATTTGTTCTGACCTCAGGAGTATTCTTCACAGCTATCTCTCTGTTTCTCCCTGGGAAAGTAGTTAGTCTATGGATTTAGCTTATAGGGCTAATGGGTCTAATAGTATCCTGCCAACTGCCTTTCACCACAACCTCCAATGTTTTTGAGTGCTCTAAGGCTTGAACGTCACACTGTTGCAAATGAAGTGAATTCCTATAGAGAGACATTTGGAACTCCTAGTTCTATGGCCTACTTTTCCTCAGGAAAGTCTCTTAAGCCAAGTTAATTGGTGTGGGGACAATGGCAAACTTCCGAATGGTATCCCCACTCTAGTAGCTGAACACTCACTGGAGTGAGTTGGGGCAGCAGCTCTACGTCTTTTTGACTTGCCTCTCCTAGCATAGAACCAGTGCCCCACAAGCTGGGCCAAGGGTCAAGGGTTCTGCACTCACATAAGCTTCCATCCCGTAAGGGGATCTGGGTAGAAGAAGGGAGCCCCCCACCTCTTGGTTGTATGTCGTTGCCTAAAACAGCCTTTGCTAGGATGATAAATGTTGATGCCCTATCTTTTCTGAGAAGAGAACTCTCTAACTAGGATTTGGGAGGAGAGGGAACCCTGTGTTACTGGCTCTGTCAGTCTGAAGTAGAATTTCCATCTCAATGAAATGTGAGAAGGCAGAAATGGAGTTGAGTTTTGTTTCATTTTTTTCCTCCTAGAATCCTTTTGTGAAGCAGAGATATTCTTGAGTAAATGTTTCTTCATTTGCTATATGCTTTTAGGACCATTTCCAGAAATTTTAAATGATAATATTCACCAATTTCATTGAGGGGTGGGTCTGTGGAGCTCCTCAACTCTGCTTCTAGTTCATGCTAGAAGCAGAACTCCAGGCAGATTGTTTTCAAAGTTTTATCAAATTACAAGATGATAACTAACTTAAGAAAGGAATTTGAGCTGTACATTGTCTTAGATTCTTAGAAACATAAAAAAGCCTCTTTTTTCTATTTCTTATCTCCCCATCACCAAAAAAAAAACCCTGCTATACATTTCAGACTTCCTATTAATGGCATCTCTGCCCTTCCATTTGTTCAGTCCAGGTATCCTGGACTTATCCTTGACTCCTCACTTACCTCACATTTGTCAGCAAAGTCTACTGCCTTGAATGTATGTCTAGAATCTGACCTCTTTTCCTTGCCTCCTCCATTGCCACCCTGTTCCAAGCCGTCTTCCTTTCTCATCTGGGTTATTTCTTTATGCTTCTGCCCTTTCCTGTGTACAGTATACTCTCATTAGGTTAAGTGATCCTTTTGAACAAAAATCAGATTACATCAATGTCTCTGCTTCAGAACTCTTCAGTGGATCCTCATTTTTTTCCAGAATAAAAATCAAAGTTCTTATACTGATTTCTGAGGCCCTATACAATCTGTTCTGCATGCTGTCTTCCTTCTCTGACTCTTTCTCCTACTATTCTCAGCCATCCTGGCTCTCTTACTTGTTCTCAAACACAGAAGACACCATCTGTCCCAGAACCTTTGTACCGACAGAAACTCTCTGGGTATCTCTGGGACACAGTCTGTCATCCTTCAAACCCTTGCTTACCTGAGATTTCAGCCTCCTGACCCTTACTGTGCTCTGTTTGTTCTCCACAGCACTAGTCAAATTCTAATATATGATACTGTGTAACTTGAATATTTATTTTATTTCTTTTGGTCTTTTTTCTCCTAGTATAAAGTTCCACAAGGGCCAAGAGTTTTGACTGTTTTGTTCACTGATGTATCACTCAATGAACAGAGCAGTGTTTGGCAATGGTTTTTGCTGAATGAATGGTTGCATGAAGGAAAGTTCCTTGTGAATTTCTTATGTGGCTAAGCATGTTTATGTGTATATATATGCAGTAAAAATGTTAACATAAATTTACTTTCAAAATAATTCCTTTTAAATTAGGTTTGTGGATTATATAGAATCTGTTAACTAAGGCACACCTGGTTCTCCCTCATTTAAGCTATTTGTAAATGGGACATTTCTTGATACTTACATCAAAACAATAAATTTGCTTAATACCACTTTTCAACTTCAAAGATGATCATTATAAAGACCTTGTAGGTTAGTACCTTAGCAGAATTTTTAAATGTCATGATTAAACTGAGAATTTGAGAGCTGTTGTAGGTTTTTGCAAATTAATTTTTAATTTTATTAATCCACTACATGTCTAGTGAATGATAAAGTTATCGTGAAATTCACAAAGCTAAACACTCATTTCAGAAAACATGAGATTATTTCATTTATGCATTGTAAAGTACTACCAGTTTGAGCAAGTATATTTTAAGAGCTTAAGAGATTTCAAAAAAATGCTCTGCAAAAGGTATTTGTAAAATAACACACACTATTCTTGATAGAATTTTTCTTGTTTTCTTATCTTTTAAACATATCTTAATGCAATTTAGGATAGAGAAGTAATTAATGTTTCAGACGAAATGTTATTGTCAGACAACTATAGCACTCATACCTAGTATTATCCTAGAGATTGTACAGCACTTGGTCCTTTCAGGATAAGCCTATCTGCAATGTCTTTTACCTATTAAAGTGCTTCTTGGTAACTTCCCTTGAATTCAGGCAACATAAGAGAAATCTGATTTTCCTTTTTGTGATAAATGACACTACTGCCAGACAGTTTCAGTTTTTCTGATGGAGAAGATTGCCTGTTTCTGCATTGATTAAAATCAGCCTTACATAGGGACATATTACTTGGATTTATTAGCTAATTATTAGTCACATTCAACATGACTCTGAATTGATAAAAATATAAAACACCCCTCTTGGGTTTAGTTTTTTGTTGTTGTTGTTGTTAGAATGTGAGTTTGAGTAGTGTGTCTATGATGCCTTTCTTCTGTAATTCTAATAAACAATCACAAATCTTGAGAAAATTTAGGTTGAATTCTGGATTCCAGCCAAATAATCTTGTTGAGCCAGAAAGCATAGATCTTCAGCTAGGTGAATAAATCTCCATGTTCATTTAATCAGATAAGGATTGATTCAATCTAATGAAGTTACAAAGGAAATTTCAGTTTTCAATAATACACATATTCAGAGAGCCCCATATTGACTGTGCTGTGAGACTCATCTTTGTGGAATATAAAACAACTTTTCCCTGGAAGGAGAAACACTTGTTACAGAGTTTGATTCATTTCTATCCAACTTCTGAGTTACTAAATGTAATATTTTTTTTCAGAGTTTAGCAGACAAATGAAATTTAAAAGCAACAAGTTTGAATATCTGTTACCGATAAAACTGCTTTATATTTATGGAGTCTTATTTCAACCCATGGTGATCGCTATCTTTTCTTATCCCATCCAAAGATAATGTGAAGAAAATACCTTTGTAGTAGATTGTGTGCTATTTAGGTGGTCAGCAACCTGAAATATTGTCAGAATTGAGACTAAATACAGACCTGAAATAAAATGATACCTCTCTTCTGGTCATATGTTTATTGATTTTGTCTTCTAATAAAAGGAAAATAGTTGATAGAAACACTTAGAATTCACTAATAACTGCAGGGTGTATGGAATTTTTTTCTTTTAATATATAGGTGAAAAATAAGACACTAACCAAAGACTCAAAATGTGCTTTATGCTGCTTTGGCATACTCACAATGGTGTCATGTCTAGATAATTTGCAATTTTATAAGGAGTAAGAAGGAAATTAGCTTATCAAATTCCCATAATAGACCTTTGACCAGAGTTCACAGTGTATTTACCGCTTGAAACACTGAAAGATGGGAACTATGTTTGAAATGATAGAAAATAGGGATGATATCATGATCTTATTATCTTACATCTCATTAACTGTAAGCAAAATGTAAAACAAAAGTATAGATTTGTTGCTAATACACTCTCAACATATAAAAAGTTAATGAAATAACTTTGTAATACCACATTAAGTAGGAACTTCAGATTTGACATGTTTTATACAAATTAAAAACTTCCTTGGTAAAAACTGTAATTTTTAAAAATCCAAATGTATTCTGGGAAACTGGCATTTCTTTTTCTTTTTTATTTGGATTCAGCTACTCTCTAACTGATAAGGATTAATTTAAAAGTGAAGGCTTCATTTTCCAAGGGGATAGGGAGGAAAGAAGATCTAAAGTATTCAGAGCCAACATTCCTACTTATTTCTGTTTGAGATTTTTCTTTACATGTTAACCTGTTTTGCTTTCCAATTTTTTAAAAATTCTAGTCTATGCAAGGAAAGCTTTCGAAAGAGAAACTGACCACTCAAAAGATGATGGAAGAGCTGGAAAAGAAAGAAAGAAATCTACAGAGATTAACAAAAGCATTGCTTGAAGTGAGTAGAAGAAATTCAATTTGCTTTGAAAGAATGATTCACTACCTATTTAAGCAGATGCTTATTTTTATAGATATTAATAGAGCATTTTCAGATTAAAGACATGATTTTGATATGCCTGTTAGTTAATTCCATTGTTTCTTACCAAAATTATTATAAAAAGACAAGCCTTTACTTCTCTTGTGTTTTAGAATACAGTTTCACATAATTACAGTACAGTATATATTTATTAGCTGGCATTCATCTATAAAAAAGTTTTTTCCCCATCACCCCAGACTGTTGAGTTACTCTGAAGTACAGTTCCAATTGGAAAGCTAATTAAAGTTACCTTTAATTAGCAGTTTTCAGGATAAGAAGGTAGCAATTTTGGGGGTCAGCAGTTCAGAGTTGTTGAGTTTTTCTTTTGTATTTCTTTGTCTCTTACATTGAAGTTTTTGGTTCCTATCAACATTAACATAGATGCTTTCCCCCCACCAAGGTGCAAAAAGTAGTTTCAAAGTAATTAAATCACTATTGCTACTAACAATAAAAACCACAGAGTGTGAGGTTCAGAGTTACTTTGTAGTTCTTTTTATTCTTGGAATAAATCTCATTATAGAAAAATACAGGCTGGGTGTGGTGGCTCACACCTGTAATCCTAATACTTTGTTTTGGGAACCTGAGGTGGGCAGATCACTTCACCCCAGGAGTTTGAGACCAGTTTACGCAATGTGACAAAACCCTCTCTCTACAAAAAATACAAAAATTAGCCAGGCGTGATGGTGTTTACCTGTGGTCCCAGATATTCAGGAGGCTGAGGTGGGAGGATGACCAGAGCCTAAGGAGGTCAAGGCTGCAGTAGTGAGTCATGACTGTGACACTGTACTCCAGCCTGGGTGACAGAGTGAGGCCCAAAAAAGAAAAATACATACACAACCAACATGCTTATTACGTGCGAGACTCCTAGAAACAGAGACTGGATTTGTTTCCTCCTTTGGATATACACTAAAGTATCAGATGGCAAAGAGAAACAGTTTTCACTATTTAAATTATTTTTCTATGTGGTTTTTTTTCCCACTGCATATATGTAGTTGAATTTGGTTAATGTGCATATAATATGACTCCACTGTTTCGTTTATAGACTTGGGGGAAAATGTTAACCTGTATGGCTTTGAGTACCTTTCCTCTCTTGTAACAATCTGACGTTTGTTTTCTTTATCCTTGCAGAACCAAAGACAAACAGATGAGACATGCTCTTTATTGGATCAGGGCCAGGAAGCTGACCAATCTAGGCAGCAGACAGTTCTTTCCAAACGGCCACTATTTGATTTGACTGTGATTGATCAGCTGTTCAAGGAAATGTCCTGTTGTTTGTTTGACTTGAAAGCATTATGCAGTATTCTTAATCAGCGTGCTCAGGGCAAGGAGCCTAATCTTTCATTATTACTGGGAATAAGATGTAAGTGTCTGATGACTTGTCCTTATTTTGTGGCAATTAGAAACCTGTCTTCATGAGTCAGGAACTTCTGACTCTGTTTATTTTTGTAATCTCCTTTCCTACTTAGAATCAGTCTGTGGGTTTATATATACCTGTTATTACTTCATTGCTAGAAGTGAGTGGGGTTATAGCTGATATTAACTGCCGCTTGGCAGAATGCCTGGTGATGTTTCCTATGTTGAATCTGTAAATAAATGAGTAGAGTGATAGTTAGGTGTGACTTCCCATTTACTCTCCCAAAAATAATGATACCTTCTATTTGCTTTTATGTGTTAGTTGCATAGATTAAGTGACCCGGCCATATTGTCCACTGGTAAAATGTTTGAGAAATATTTTGCTTTCCAGTGCAGTGTATGTTCTATGGCAGCTGCTTCACATGAGTGCCAGTGATTTCACATGAGCCAGTTTTCACAGCCTACAGATCTGTTGCCTTTGTCAGGCATACCTACTGGCTTAATGTGACACCCATTCACTCTTGGCCTCAATTCTATCTTCCTCCACACATAATTGTGAGAGCTGCCACAGTGATAATCCCAGTGTCCCTTCCTTTCTGTGCTACTTTTGCAGAAACACCCATCTCTGCATGTGGTTCCAAATCAGGATGTTAGTCTCTTTTTAATAGAGAATAAATGAACTTGGAAGGAAATAGGAATGGAGTAAGACCACATAATAAGGTTTATGAGCCAACATGTATATTTAGTAGCTGCCTAATATAATGGTAATATATGACTATAGGGGTGACTGGTTTTGTTCCTAGTTTCATCAAAAAGATTCTACCATTTTGCATCATGATAGTTATTGGCAAATCAATGCTCTTGACCAAAGTATATCACTAGTTAAATAAAGCATCATCTGTGCTCAATTATGTCCCTTTCATTTCATAGACATTTGTACACATACACAAGTGTGGATATGGGAAAAAAAACATAATGTTTAAGTATATTCACTCACGGAGTAAACATTTATCAAATGCCTTCTATGATCCAGACACTAGTAGATGCTAGTAATGCAGATAACCCGAACACAGTCCTTGTCCACACATTAACCAAATTATTAGAGCATTGTGATAGGTGCTATAGTTGAGATGTGGACAAAGGACAGTGGGAGCACAAGAGGAAAAAAACAACTAAATCTACATGGGAAGGGCTGTGGAGACTCCACAGAGTAGCTGGTGTTCAGTGTCGCTCTTAGAGGAGGAAGTGGAGAAGTTTGCCAGGTGAACATGGAGTGCTTTAATATCTTTTGGGAGCAAGAAGCAAAGCTCACACACAAAGGGAACTCATTTTCTCCACGATTTTAGAGTTGGTCACCCTTTTAATTACTTTCGAGTCTCCTATATTTTCACTATCATAAGGTAGCGTTTGTTAAGTTTTTCAGTAATAAAGTAGTAGAGCTATCCTAATATGAATCTTACCACCCCCACCTCCCAATGCTCCTTCTAGTCTTGAAAGTTTGACCCCAGAATCCTTACCTTACATTTGGCATTGTGAAAATTTTACCAGCCAGTTGATTTGTGAAAAACCGGTCTATTAATGACTCCATTTGCTCACTCTGTCCTTCTGAAAACTGTGTTACCTTGGTTTCCATGACATCATTCTCTAGGTTCTGCTTCTGCCTTTATGACTGCTCAGCCTCTGTCTTCTGTGGACTTCTCTGTCACTTAATTATTGGTATCCCCAGAAGCCTTTTGTTACTGGTTTTTAGTCTGTTTCTTTTTATTCAGTACTTTATCTGAGTGATCTTATCCACTCCTATTGTTTCTGTTACTGCCATACCTTTCACCTAGACATTTATCTCCTTTACCCAGGCGTTTATCTCCTCAGGGTTGCAGATTATATTCCCATGTATATTAGAATTGGCTGTTTCGAATGCATCACAGACTCTACACATTCAAAACCAGAACACACTTTCCTTCCCTCCCTGAACTGTTCCTCTTCTCAATGAGTAACACCACCATTCACCTGTCACTTGAACCCAGATTTTATTCTCCACTCTGCTTTTTCCTTCATCTGGCACCTGTGCCCAATCCCTGCCCCTCACTCCAGTTGATGATGATTGAGTGTTATCAGTTCTGTCATCTGCTTACTACATCTAACATTCCTGCCTTTCTATCTCCATTGCACTGTTGCCTTAATTTAAGTTTTCATAACCGGTCACCTATACTGGTCTCTCTGACAACCATCTTTCTCACCCCCTTCCCCTAATCCATTTTACATTGTTGCCAGACAGATCTGTCTCAACTATAAACCTGGCTTCCTAATGCTTACACTGCTCTGTGGTCGAGATAGGTAGCTCCTACCTCCTACCTACGTCTATAGTCTTTATTTCTTGGTACTCTCCTTTGTCACAATTTGTACTCTACCATTTTAGAGCCTAGATACTGATTTTCTTGAGGTTTCTCAAATTCTATCAGATTGTTTTGCTTTCTGACTCCACTTTTGTTCATTTTGCAGTTTGGCCCACCCAGTGAACAAGCAACTGTTGCCTCTCCAGTTAGGACTAGTTTTGTTTTCTTCCTTTTATGCCACTGCAACTTATATATAGTGGTAGGTTACCTACGGTACCTCACTGTGCTCATTTATTTATGGAATTGTATGTAAAGCATCGAGAATAAGCCACTGTGTCTGTTCCTTTTCTGATTTCAACATCTAACAGTTCCTATATCATGGCAGATGTTCAGTTAACATTTGCTAAAATAACAGTCACTCACTGACTCTTATGCTACAATAAACTACTATGAAGGTATAAGGAGAAGTTTCTTTTGTAATCACTAGCTCTGCCTGATTTTATGTTGAGATATGCTTACAAAGGGAAGAACTGAAGTAAATAATTAAAAGCTGGCTGACTCAAGGCCCTCAGTTATTTAGCCATAAGGCAACCAGCTATCAGCCTGATTCAGTTGTTTGGGATTGTAGGATCCTAGCTTTCACTCTTCCTCCCCCTCTCCCTGTCTGTCTCTCTCATTTTCCCTCCCCACTCTCCACTCTGTGTGTGTGTGTGTGTATGTATGTGTGTGACACTATGTATTTGAAAATTAATATTTTCATGGCAATAAACCTACTTTGCATTCGTAAATATTTAAGATGCCACTTCTCACTACACAAATGGTCTTCAGATTTTGCCAAATGGGAAAACTGAGTGCTCTAGTTGAGCTGGAAGAGAGACATTCGAGTGTGCTCTTTTTCACTTTTGGAATATTGTTACCCATTAAACTTGCTGAATTTGTGTGTATCACTGTGTGAATTTTAATTTGTGTGAATTTTAATTAATTTTAATTTGTGAAATTTATAAAGGACCAAGTGGATAAGATCTGTTTAATATTGAATGATGTATGATTTAAACATAACTTGAACCTGGGCCTCACTGGTATTCAGTGTGTAGTATTTATATTTCCATGATGATTAAGGTGAAAAATTCTAAAATGTCTTTGTTCAAAAAAATGTGAGATATTCTCTCCATATTTTGTTTACACAGCAATGAACTGTTCAGCTGAAGAGACTGAGAATGACCACAGCACAGAAACACTCACTAAAAAGCTGTCAGATGTGTGCCAGTTACGAAGAGACATTGATGAATTAAGGACTACAATATCAGACCGCTATGCTCAGGACATGGGAGACAACTGCATTACTCAGTGATCAAGTGTTAGTCCCACAGCAATAATGACCTGTTGTTTAAATGCTGCTGTGTTACAGACTCATAATGGAAGGTTGCAAGTGACATGACTTGCACATAGGGATTTTTTTCTGTGGATTTGTTTTATTGAAGGGGAGAAGGGAAGTGAAGAGATTTTGAAGGGGCTTATCTAATCAGGCAAAAAAAAAAAATCAAATTACCTTTGGAAAATATGATAAAATCTACAAGAAAAAAATGTCTGTATTCTCAAACTACTGATTGTAGGACCAAGCTGTGAAGAGTACCCTTCACATGAAGGAGTAGGCTTCCCTTTAATCCTATAGCTTCGTGTATTTGTGTGTGCATGTGTGTGTGTTGTGTGTGTGCACGTGCTTTATTCACAAATTTATAAGGGTTTCTAGGGTCAGAGCAGAGCTTCTGAGAAAGGCACCCGCTGTTTATTCTTATATTTCTTTCATATAGAAGCTTGTGTTGTACTTCGGGATTTTCAGTGCCTGGGTGAACAAGAGTTCCAACAGCAGGCAAGTGTTGTAATGATAGTACAGCGGGAAAACCATTTGTATTTTGAACACTTACTGCACTGATAGGATGTTTTGTGGTTGAGCTGATTTTAGTACTGTAGATATGTCAGCTGTTTTTCCAGAGTGATTGTGGATTTCCCAAGAGGTGTGAAATTTTGTGATGCTCTTTTTCCTTAGCGTTGTAATGTATGTGTTACAAGAAAGGTTAACATAACTTGAACTAATTTTAACATGTTCCTTACTATTTACAATTTTTTATTTATATGTTTTATATATATACACATATATATATCAATGTAAACAAAGCCATATATAATTAATAAAGGCATTGGATCATTATTATAAAAGAAAGATTAACAAAGTTACCCTGGAACGATAGCTTACTTACCCAAATCTCAACATTTACATTTTAACAGTTTTGTATCTGTTTCAAAGTTGAAACTACTGTAAGAGAAAGGCAATACTGTTTATATCTGAATCAACAGTAGCATAAAAATTTTTAAATTGAAATGGCATTTTAATTCCTTTTATTAGATAAAGTACATTAACAACAAAGTTTTTCATAGGATATGAACTTGACGAGGTTAGTTCTTCATCTGAATTACAGGGTGTTACTATGAAATGCAATTGATTTTCCAGTAGACATACAGTCATTTAAACTTCCAAATGAGTTTTGTCCATGTTGCTGTTGGTATTTTGGAATGATTATACATTTTATTGCCATCAGCATTGATTATGTTCTTTTGAATATACTTAGTTATGGCCAAAGCCTTGCTTGTCCTTTGTAAGTTGATTTGATCTTGTGATGCAACCAAGTCTCATTTAGGTCAAGACTAAATAAGAGATGGAGGGGTAGAGGGTGTGACTCAAGCAGGATAATATTGATTTGATAAAGAGCATATCACATACCTGTTTTCTTGCCAGATAAAGGGCATAGCACATGCCTGTTTTCTTATATTCTAGAATAAAGGCTAGGAAATCTAGGAAAGATTTTTCTTAAGTATGTAACAGTGAAAATGTGAGACAAGGCCTTCAAGGAGACTACCCAGGAAGATACTCAGTTTGAAATTTTGGCTTATACAGCTCTCAATAGATTATTTTACAGTTATAGTTGAATAATCAGTTATAATACACTGTAAAGACATCAGATTTTCATTCTGTTCAGTGCCTGAGTCCTTCCTGCTTTTCTTAATTCTGAGGATCTGGGCGCTAAGAAATCAGTACATTGTAGTGCTTCTGCATCCCAGAGTCCTTGAGGGTCTTAGTCACTAGTAAGAATTGGACTTTCTAATTATATTCACTTGGTTTTTTAACATTAGTAGCTTGAAGATATTCAGGGTATAGTAAATTTCTACCAAAAATATGATGCAAAGAATTCTGCCTTGGTCCTTTATGGTAAAGTAGATAATAACATCCAAAATAGATCATCCACAAGTGCAGCAAACGTTTTTACATTCTCTTTGAATAGAATCCCAACCTCCTCCCCCACGAGTTTGGAAATAAAGGCTTCCTAAAATAATAGAACAAATTGGCAAACAATCACTAATTGGATCAGTAGGTTCTTACTTAAATATCTCTCCTAGATTTTTAGTGTATGTTTTGGGATTTTATGTTTGTTTTTTGTTTTTAAGCAAGCATTACAGTTTTTTTTTAATCTGCTATAGATACATTTTTGTTTTTTGGCTTAGTTGGGGATAAAATAATTTGTTTTTGTAAACTTTCTAAAACTTATAGAAATTAATTTAATTCACATATCTTAAAAATAAAATTCTAAAGTTAAAAAATTTCTGACTTAGTAGGAAGTTAACAAACTACTGCTGATGCATTTCAGTTTCCAAAATCTGTACCCCCCGCCCCATAAAAAAGGGAGTTAAGATGTGCTAGTTTAGTTAGTTGAATTATAGATTGATCCTCTTAAAATCTGGAGTTTGTAAAGGGGCCTAAATAAACAGTAGATAGACTTGGGGGGATTTTGTAGGGGAATTGAAACTAACAGTATTCTGGTTTGTCAGTATTTACTTTTTTATTTTTATTTTTCAGAAAATTTTCCTTTCCCAGGACACCTTCTTGTATTAGAACGTCCTCTTCTGTATCACATTAAAAACAGATTTTACTGTTAGACCAAATAAACTGGGCAAATAGCAACACTAGAGCATCTCACCCAGTTTGAACTAGGATGTTCATGGAAGTTATGACAGCAGTATATTCCTGAAATGAAAATTAACCTAAATTTTAAGGTGAATCTATTTGAAAATTTCCTTAGATAATGAAACCTCGTTTTATTTGTGCTTTTTGTGAATCCAACACTTGTTTTCTTACAAAGTATCTTCTCTAGTATTCATATTTTGTTCTTTTGGGTTTTAAAATTGAGCTTATTCGGCCTCAGTCACATTACAGCAAGGATAAACTAACAGTTGACTCAATGAAAGACCCAAACTCCCTGTACAGATAAAATTCACTGAATCAAAGGCACAATAGCTGTCTTTTCACTTGAGGTCAGAAAAGTAAGATGACTTAATTTGAACTATTAATTTTCAGTGGCCTCTAATTAAACGAAAACAAAAAACCACAAATACTGGCTAGGTAAGATATTCCTGAGGTTATTTTAAAAGAAGTGTGGTACCTAGAATTCAATATTTAATGCTAACAGTATTATATTTTAGCGAAATTTATTTTGGTGGTGACAGTTTATTAAACCTAATTAGACTTCTTTCAATAGCTTGTTGTAGAGACAATCTCAAGGGCTGGAAAGTGTTGCTAAAATGAATATCATACATTTCTGATATATTAAGGAGCTTATCAAGTAATTCTGTCATAGTGCAAGAATTATTAATTTCTTAGAGGGTATTTTTAAAGGAGCTACTTAATTGGGAAAATGTTCTTTAAATATCAGTAATAGTTCATTAAGTAACATAGTAGCTGAGAACATGGACTGTATTTTTACATAGCATAGTTCAGCTTAGGCACACCTTTAGTTGGGATTATTGGCATTCTCTTACATAGGAATTGCATCATTGTAGATATGTAATTATGGTAATAAGCAGTTTTCATAACCATGCTCACTCAGACTATATCATTTGAAACTGCCAGTGGCTGTAACTCTCCAAGCCAAAGTTAATTCATTTTGTTTCCATTTTTGACAATTCACTGTTCACAAAACAACAAAAATGATTTCGTATTTGGCATAAACAGCAAAATTTCCAACTTTGCCCTAAAATGCCGTGGGTAGCATATTGCCATATGATTATATCATACATTTAATCATGTAGGGGAAAGATTTTGGATATTTTTTCTTATTTAAAAAAATGCTGGCCGGGCGCGGTGGCTCAAGCCTGTAATCCCAGCACTTTGGGAGGCCGAGGCGGGCGGATCACGAGGTCAGGAGATCGAGACCATCCTGGCTGACACGGTGAAACCCCGTCTCTACTAAAAAATACAAAAAACTAGCCGGGCGAGGTGGCGGGCGCCTGTAGTCCCAGCTACTGGGGAGGCTGAGGCAGGAGAATGGCGTGAACCCGGGAGGCGGAGCTTGCAGTGAGCTGAGATCCGGCCACTGCACTCCAGCCTGGGTGGCAGAGCGAGACTCCGTCTCAAAAAAAAAAAAAAAAAAAAAAGCTAAATGTAAGAATATAGTTTTAAATCAACAAGTCTAATAACACTATTGCAGCTGTACACAGAGAGAACCTTTTGTGCCTTTTTGCCTGCAGTAAGCATTTATTTCTATTTTACATGAGTTCTAAGAATGTTGATTATTGCACCTTGTTCTTGTGTAAATAGACTTGATTAAGGGATTTTTTTTTTTTTTAAGCAAGGAGCTGTTTTTTATTACTAGGTGGATACCTTAGTAAACATGAGAGGAATTATCAGATATATGGTTTTGGAGCCCAGCCTTCCCTGTATAGTGAGCTGGAAACTCCTTTAGAATGTATTCATTGGTGTGTATGTGTATGTACATATATGTATAGTTAAATACATAAACATGAAACTTAACATCGCATTGTTGTGATGACAAGAAGTAGTAAGGTGCTAGGTGGTTACATTAAAAAGCACAGCACAGTGTATAATCAGTCACTATGACTGGTGGTTTTGTAAACTAGGTTCAGTTTTTGAACCACCCAGAATACCTCATGTGTAAATACAGTGTTCATGACTTAATTGAAATACAGTTATTGTAAAAAAAAAAAAAAAAAAAAAAAAAAAGTGAAGCCACTGGTTGGCTTATGCCTTCTGATCTATCATTCTTGCCTCTTTTTTGTAAAGGGGTTTTTTGTTGTTGTTGTTTTGTTTTTTAATAGGGTTTACAGCTAGAATTTTGAATGCCAAAGTTCTATTTATTAAATTAAGAAAAAAGTTTTCAATGTTAATGGCTAGTATTTTTCCACTGGACTATTGTTTGTTGATGTTGGAATTTGTATTTACAGAGAAATAAATTTTTTATGAAAAGATTTGTGTCTTTCAAGAGCCTAATGTTAATATAAGAATGTATTTGTACTTTCAGGCTGTCTATTCTGAATTCTCAATGACAAGAATATGCTGTCTTGACTTTTAGGCAAAAGCTTTGTGTAAATGCACAGGAGAATCTTTGACTAAAACATGGAGACTTCTGCCTTCTATTTTATAATTTCTTTCCAATTACAAAAAAGCTTTTTCTCAGGGCCTTCTCATAAAGGGTGCTGAGATTTTCTGATGGCAGGTACTGTAACATAGGAAATCATGCCTGTGTCCATTCCAGTTAATGGCACTGTGTCTCCTTTCTGACTTTCTAAAATCCTATTTAAACCGGGAGTCTTCTTTCTAGTTTTCCAACAGACAGGATCTGACTTCAGTATTCTACATTGCTGAAAAGTTCGATTGGTGAGTCAAATCTTTTATTTTCCACCCTCTAATCAAAGGTTAAAAACATACTAAGACATACACAAATAAAGCCTTGTTAAAAGGTTGCTCTACAGGGGCCTTGACATCTCAGCTTTGATGGTTTGCCAGTCTAGTCTCAAAAGTGCCCTGCGGATGGCATCCTAAGTCCTTGTTCTAACATATATGGGTTATAACCTCAATTTTTTTTTTTTTTTTTTTTTTAAAATAAGACAGAGTCTCGCTCTGTCGCCCAGGCTGGAGTACAGTGGTGCAATCTCGGCTCACCCCAACCTCTGCCTTCCAGGTTCAGGTGATTCTCCTGCCTCAGCCTCCCATGTAGCTGGGACTACAGGTGCGCACCACCAGGCCTGGCTAATTTTTGTATTTTTAGTAAAGACGGGGTTTCACTATGTTGACCAGGCTGGTCTCAAACTCCTGACCTTGTAATCCACCTGCCTCAGCCTCCCAAAGTGCTGGGATTATAGGCACGAGCCACCACGCCCAGCCTATAGCCTCAATTTCTACAGGTAGTTGATTAATGTTTGGATTAGCAGTATCTGTTTCCAGTTGAGATAACTTGGCATTGCTCTGTTAGAGTCTTTAATGAGGCATCTAATTCAGTTAATAAGGAAAGAAACACTTTGGAGATCCTGCATCACAGGTTACTTAGGTTGCAAGCAAATATCTTAGAAATAAGAGCAGGACGGATAAAATCCTAGAATATTACTAAGGTGACCCGGTAAAGAAGTTTCTCCTTCAGAATGAAAGGATTATTTTTGATCTGGAAAAAAAGTTATTTGATGGGGGAGGGAGGTGGTCAACAAAAAGTTTTTGATAATGTACGTTCCAGGAGTTTGCCAATAGTGTGAACTTCTTTTATGACAAGTTTCCCCAACCAAACAGAATCATTCTATCTTGAAGAGCAGCGGACTCAGTTAAAAAGAGGTATGAAATAGGATGTTAGTAATGGCACAAAATGGCAGAGTGGATCCAGTAGAGCAACAGTTTACAAATGGATAGATCTCTAACATGTCAATTATGACATTCTCCTTGATTTAGAGGAGATTCCAGTTTTGGAAATTATGATAAATGTTTTTTTAAAAAAATTTAAGTAAAATTGCTGTCCTTGGCAGATATCTGGGGTGATCACAAAGAGAAAAAATCTTTTCATTTTAGCCAACATGTTTTTAAACAATCTCTCTTCATCTCTATTGAGTCCCTTCTAATAAAAGTTTTAAACTAAATGTACACATGCCCTTGACTAGGAAATTCTACTCTAGATGTTTATTTGAGATGAATAAAAACATGTCCACAAAGGCACTTGTAGATGAATGTTCGCGGCAGGTTATTTCAAAATAACCCCAAACTGGAAACAGCCCAGAGGTTCGTCAGTAAGATCTTTCCACCCAGAGTTGAAAAATAGCATTCTTTTACAACCTTGCGTTCTAATTGGTTGAGAGTCACTTTATTCTTTATACTTTTTGGAAAATAGAGTAAGTTTAATACATAACAAGGTAGTGGATAGGAACTGGACAACAGACCTCCCATTTACCAGAGGACTTTGGTTTACACTTCCCTCTGGAGGACTGCCCTTTGTCATGCTGCCACCCTTGTTCCATGGGTCTCCCCAGTTAAGGTGAAGCACTTGGTCTCATTCAAAAGCCCCTTGAAACAGACTTTTTATATCATCGTGTTTGAATGCAGTCTTCCACCAGACTTTGAGCTCTTTTAGGGCAAGCACCTTGTCTTATTAAACTTTGTGTTTAATTAGCAACTAGGATAAACTCACTTCCAGAAAAGTGTAAGTACCTGCCCTTTGCCCCAGGATGGAGCTCTATTTTCAAGGAGAAAACTTAGTCTTTTAAGCACAGCCCTAGAAGGATATGGAGCTTTTAACGGAAAGAGGGTATAGTGATAAGTCCTACTTAAGCAAGTTGCATTATCCTCCTTTTCTTGGAACCCTTGTTAGTATCTCCTGCAGCTGTACACTTTCTACCCTTCTGTAGGTCCAGGCCACAGGATTGGACACAGTTGTTTCCCAGCTCCAGTGTTCCCAGAGGATAACATTCTCACTGGGCTTTAGGCCAGCTGTGTAGATTTTGTAAAAGCAAATCCAAGGTCTGGCTTAAAAGTAGGACAAAATATCAATTCTAAAACTGAATGCATGGCTGGGCATGGTTGCTCACACCTGTAATCCCAGCACTTTGGGAGGCCAAGGCGGGTGGATCACCTGAGGTCAGGAGTTTGAGACCAGCCTGGCCAACATGGTGAAACCCTGTCTCTACTAAAAATAGAAAAAATTAGCCAGGCATGGGGGCTGGTGCCTGTAATCCCAGCTACTTGGGAGGCTGAGGCAGGAGAATATCTTGAGCCAGGAGGTGGAGGTTGCAGTGAGCCAAGATCACGCCACTCTACTCCAGCCTGGGTGGGTGACAGAGTAAATAAATAAATAAAATTAAAATTAAAATGAATACAGCTGGACACGGTGGCACATGCCTGTAATCTCAGCTACTTGGGAGGCTGAGGCAGGAGAATCACTTGAGCCAGGAGGTGGAGGTTGTAATGAGCCGAGATTGCACCACCACACTCCAGCCTGGGTGACAGAGTGAGATGCCATCTCTAAATAATTAAAGATGAATGCAGCTGGGCATGGTGGCACATACCTGTAATCTCAGCTACTTCGGAGGCCGAGGTGGAAGGTGGAAGGATCACTTGGGCCAAGGAGTTCAAGATTAACTTGGGCAACATCACAAGAACCCATCTCAAATAAACAAAAACAAAAGGGGGACGGGGGTGCACAGAAAGCAAGTAACAAGTTACAGCCAAAGAAACCAATCAAAATAAAGGCAGAATTACTTTTCAAAATGAATGCAGTTGCATCTGCATATATTTGCACAAGTCTAGAATAAATAGTACAGTTGACAACGCTTATAAACAGGGAATCAAGGTAATTCACATTCTTCATTCCTACACTGACCATACAGTCATAAAACAAATGATTGTTTAGTGGCCTGTGGTGACTAAAACACTGCACAGGAAGTGTGTCTTCTATATCATCATCGTTATTAACCAACATTTGAGCACAGGCCAAGTAGAAAGCCCTTGCATAAATTATCCCATTTATTCCCTATATAATACCCTATGAAGTAGGGCATTATTATTATCAGGGTGCTATTATTATCCCCACTTTGGGCAAAGACATTGAGACCCAGGGAGTTTATATATCTTGTCCAAGTTGGAACAGCTTGAAAGAGGCAGAGCTGTAATAAGAAAGAGTCTGCTTTGTGCCCCTCATGAGACTGCCTCTTGTCCCATGTTTGTGCTCAAAAATTAAATTCATTTCCTCCTTCCCAAGCCTCATTGGGAAGGCTTCGTCACAGGGCTTCACCATTTCTGTGAGTTGCACCTCCATTCCAAGAATCCTTCTGGTGATTTCCTCTCCATCACGTGTAATTTTTAGTAGTTTCCTATTGCTTCTGTAACAAATTACCAAAAATGTACTAACTTAAAACAATATGTTATCTTACAGTTCTGGAGGTCAGAAGTCCAAAACAAGTCATACTGGGTTAAAATCAAGGTGTTGGCAGGGAGTCTTTAGGAGAGAATCTGTTTTTCATTTTTTTTCCAGCTTCTGAGGCGATCACATTCCTTGGTTCATGACTCCATTCTTTGGTCTTCTAAGCCAGCAATATCAGGCTGGGTTCCTCTCACAATATCATTTCTTTGGGTCTCTTCTGCTTCTCTCTTTCCCTTTTAAGAACCCTTGTGATAACCTTGGGCCCACTCAGATAATCCAGGATAATCTGCATATTTCAAGGTCAGCTAATTAATAACTTTAATTCCATCTGCAATCTCAATGCCTCCTTGTCATGTAATTTAATGTACTCACAGGTTTCAGGGATTAGGATGTGAACCTCTTTGAGGGGGCCGTTATTCTATCCTTCCACAGCACATCCTAAACAAATTATTTCTCAAATCTGAAGTTTAAGAAGAAAAACAACATTAAATCTTTGCAGAGAATTTCTGAACTTTTTTTAACATTGCCATTTGTCAATGTCTTAGAGGATGTGCCATAATCTGGATTTGTCTGTTTTCTCATTATTAGATTCAGGTTAAACATTTGTAGCAAAAATGCTACATTGGTAATGTATATTTCTCATTCATCATATTAGGAAGCTCATGATAACAGTTTATATTATCATTGGTGCTGCTAAATTATATCATGTGGTTAAGCAGAAACACCTTTAATTTTAAGTTAAATAAAGGACAAGTGACAAGGCTTTGGTCCATGCAAGGTAGGGAGTTGGAACTAAGATATTTACATAAAAAACTAAGATTCTCAAAATATCACATTTTCAATGAAAGGAAGAGATAGAAAATCTACCCCTTAGTCAAAGGAAATTAAAAGGTTATTTGGTTTTCAAGGACTCAGCTCAAGATGAAAAATGTCCCCTTGAGAATTTGCAACCATATTCTTACATTCATGTAGAGTGGAGTTTGAACTTGTTTTCGGGCCCTAGAAATCCTGAGGCCAGAAGGTGACTTAAAGAAATCTGAGTTGGTAACTTCCTGGGAATCTTGGATGAAACAA